TTGGGGGGGGGGGGGAGGGTTGAGTGGCATACGCTGCTTGCTGGAGACGATGATACCGGGGTCCCCTCCACTTCTTCTCCCCAGAAGGTTCTCATGCAGGGGATCAATGTCCTCCACATCGCCATACTTGACCAGGACCAGATGCTGCCCTGAGAGTGTGGGCATGAGCCTGTGTTGTGTGTGGCACTGCTGTGTGCGCCCCTGCCCCCAGCCTCCTTAGCGGTGGCTTGTGGTGGGAAGGTGTCCCACTATGGAGTCCGGAGTAAGGTGCGGCTGTGCAGCAGCAGTGGCAGGTTTCTGTGTGGTAGCCTCATGGGGCTGTCTGCTCTGGACTGGTGCTCCATGTGCACAGGCTGTTGTGTGAACCCCAGGCCAAAAAGACCAAGCGAGGAGCATGTAGCCCCTCTCAGCCCACAGCCGGCTCATCCGCGTCGACTCATCTGAGCCCTGGGAAACAACCTGAGGGAGGAAATGGCTCCAGGCTGAGGCTGAGCTCCTGGCTGGCAGGCATGGTGTCAATGCTGGCCTCTTCCTCTTCTATCTCCTCATCCTCATCCACAGCCCCGCCCTCCTAGAGGCTGACGACTGGTGTAGCCAGGCCAGAATCCATGACGGGGGGAAGGGACTACCCCACACCCCGGATACCATCCAACTTGGCGTAGGCCTGGCATAGTTCTTTCACCTTCATCCGCACCTGGTCCTGGGTGTGGCGGTGACCCTTCTGGGCCAGGCTGGCAGCCATCCAGCCACAAATACTGGCATCTTGTGCTTGGTGTGGAGATCCTGGAGATTTGACTCCTCACCCCAGACTTCGATGAGATCCAGGATCTCTGCACCAGTCCAGGATGAAGCCCTCCTCTTCCACCTCTGGCCAGGGACTTCCAACGTGGTTGCAGGCTCGCTTGCAGCCATGGGGAGCTCAGAGGGAGTGCTGAGGTTAGCGGTGGCAGCAGACAAGAGCAGTGAAGCCTGTTGGTGTGTGGCACAGGGCTGGCAGGGCCAGTGTGGTGCCACTAGCCCTTTCTCTTCTGCCTGCATCTTTAAAGGCTGCAGGGGAAGGGAAACTACAGAGTTTTGAGGGGTATGAACAGAGTGGCCAGCAGGGCAGCTATGAGAAGCCCTGGAGGCCAATTTCGAAATAAGCACAGCTGCCCCATCCACACTCACACGAATTCAAAATAGCAATAGCCGTTATTCCTCCTGAAATGAGGGTTTATTATTTTGTAATTTGCTGTGTGGATACTCTCCTTGTTATTTCTAAATAACGCTGTAGTGTAGACGTGCCCTTACTGCTCCCCTCCTTCACCAAACAAAATAAGACTTTAATCCTCCTAAACTTTCCCCCATCTCTAATGCAAGAGCCCTGCCCCCAGCGCTTAATTTGTAATGAAAGATGTGTTAGTGCTCAAGCAAACCTAGCGACTTCAGGCCTCAGGCCTGGCACAAATTAAACACTGCCTATCCCTCTGCCAGGAACCTGCCCTTGCTGCCATTTCCTGCCCTTGCTGCCACTGGATGCTTCGCATTAGACCCAACAAAGTGGAGCTGGGTCACACTTTACAGCAGAGTAGGGCAGTACAGTGTCAGGGTGACAGCACCAAGAGAGACAGAGGGGATACTGTGGGACCAGCAGCCTGCTTGGCAGTTAAGTGATTCACCCAAAGCAGTGGTCCCCAACACAGTGCCCACGGGTGCCATGGTGCCCGTCTAGTGATCAGGGCTGGTCTGAGCCATTCTTGCACCCCGGGGGCGTGATGCATGTGTAGCCCCTGCCCTGGGCGCACGGTGCATGCGCGGTATCACCTCAGGTGCGCGACTCATGTGTGGCCCTGCCCCCGGGCGCCCAGCAGCCCCAAAAGGTTGGGGACCACTGACCCAAAGAAACCATCCCAGCAGGTGAAAACATCCTGATTTCCTCAGTAAGAAGAGTCTCCTTTCCCTTTTCGAACATACAGTTGCTGAGTCTACTTCCCTGATCATTTAAATCATGTGTTTGTTTTGTATCGGGTGCTGTAACACCTGGTTTGGGAAGATAGAAACAAAGGAAACTCATTAATCTTTGACCCTGGGAATTCTGGATCTAGATTTTTCCACTATGCTATGTCTTAAAAAAAACACCCATATAAGTTAATACCTTTGGTTGAGTCTCTATCATCAGGCTAATTGTGGCCTTTTTTAAAAAAAACACACTTGTTCAAATGGAAAAAATAAACCCTGCTCAAATAAAGGGCCCGATAAAATTTCTGAGGTGATTGTTGTAGTCAAATTTAAGGACCTGTCATAAACCAAAAGTATTAAAACACAAGAAAGGATTTTAGGTCCCTATGTTCACAATAAATTTTCAACTTCAGTGCTTCACAGTATTATGCAGTGCAGTGCTTTTTTTGTGATGGTACTGCCTGGTACACTGTACCAACACCTCCAGACACAGAAGTGGCACCTGCAGTCAGAGCTAACAACTTTTCCCCTGGAGTACTGGCACTTTTTTTTTTTTTTTTTAAACAAAAAAAGCACTGATGCAGTGTAAATGGCTGAAGTGATTACAATTTTGTGCGCCACTATTTCAGAATTCCCCAGGGAATGCAGATAGAGAAGAGTGTGCTGTGTGCAAAGCAGCAGCACTATTTATACCTTCTTTCAACTCTCTTAGCATAGTAAATAATAAAGAATACAGTAACAATAAAGGCAAAAAATATAAAAGATATAAAAGCAAATAAAGATTTTCTGGTTTGAAAAAGGTTGCATTCAGGACACAAAACAAGCATTTCTGGACACAGCTGATCCGGAGTTTCTGAACTGGGAAAACCATTATTGTCAATTATTTTTCTGTAATGCTTCATGGAAGGCTTCGGCTCATACTGATTAGCAATGTAACGATAGAGCCCATATTTGGGAGCAGTCCTGTCACTGAAAGAATAGACAAAATAGCCCTGTAGATTGACATTATCCAGGGTATATGCTGCAAAAGAAAACATAGGGGAGGAGAAAAGGAAAACAAATCAGTTATTAATTTATTTAAGAACAATGTTGTGTTCTAGTTTATGTTGCTGAGGAAGTTCATAGTCAACCCCAGCCCTGAACTCATCTTCATAGGGAGAGAAGATAGACTGGCATATACACATTCAGGGATTGTTATTAAAGAGTGAGCATTTGATGACAATTGCCATACATGGTGTGTCTAGACTACATCCCTCTGTCGGCAATACTTCAAAAGTGCAGTACTTTGAAAAAATGAAGTACTTCAAAAGTGCAAATGAAGCCGGGATTTAAATATCCTGTGCTTCATTTGCATAATCACATCATGGTGCTCTTTCGAAAAAGTGCTATTTCGAAATTGAAACTACAGTCTAGACGCAGTTCTTTTGAAAACAGGGAGCTTTTTCAAAAGATCCTATAAACCTCAAAAAATGAGGTTTACAGGCTCTTTCAAAAAAGCGCCCCATTTTCGAAAGAACTGCGTCTATACTGCGGTTTCAATTTCGAAATAGCGCTTTTTTGAAAGAGTGCCATTATGTGATTATGCAAATGAAGCACAGGATATTTAAATCCCGGCTTCATTTGCACTTTTGAAGTGCTTCATTTACATCCCTCTGCCAACATTTACATCCCTTTGCCACATGCCCAACTTGACTTCAATGGCTCTGTTCATGTGTTTAAAGCTAGACTTGTGCTTAAGTATCTTAGGGTATGTCTACACTACAGCGCTAATTCGAACTAACTTAGCTAATTCGAACTAATGCATCCAGACTAAAAAACTAGTTCGAATTAGCGTTTTGCTCATTCGAACTAGCATGTCCACACAGAGTGCACCCTGAACCGGGGTTAAGGATGGCCGGAAGCAGTGCCGGCAGGGCATCAGATGAGGACTTAAGAGCATGGAGCTGCTGTCTCAGACTAGCCGGACAGACAGTTCTCAGGGGTGCCCCGCTTGCAAAG